CGCCCCCCCCCCCCCCCTAACAATTTAAGGGGCCCCTCGTGGGGCCCTGGGAGCCCCAGGGGGATTTAAGAGTCATCAGGAGGCCCCACTGGCCCTCAACATAGAGCAATGCATGCGTTGGCGATGTGTTGTCTGCATTGTTGCATAGTATTACGGTCTAGAGGGTGGTGGTTTAGGGTTTGTTAGTGCTGCACCTAGGGTTTAGGGTTTATATGCATGTCCTTTAGGATTAAGTAATACCATAATTATGATATAAATATTAACCAATTGTTGTCTTCTCATTGAACGTGAGCTGTCTGTACACCCCGGGGCCTCCGCCGGCGCCAGCAGGGGCCCCCCACTGTGAGGGGCCCCAGGGGCCCCCCTAATAACAAATTCTAGTTGTTTAAATGTAATTTACTAAACTATATTGAACTAACCAATGAAGCACAGTTTTTCCTTGCTGGATACACACACATACACACACGCAAACAGAGGGGGCCCCCGGGGGGCCCCGAGAAGCGGCAAGGGGGGAGCAGCTGCAGCAGAAGCAGCAGCAGCAGCTGGTGCAGCAGAAACAATCTTGTATGGTATTTACTTGAAGCGAACGCCCAGCAGACGCGAGCAAACGAACAGCAGCAGCAGCAGCAGCAGCAGCTGGGTGGCTGCTACTGCAACAACCCCACCCAGTAACCACACGGCATGACTCCAGCAAGGCGAGGCTGTAAACTGCGGACGCAGCCGTAGCAGCAGAAACAGCTGCAGCAACCGCCGCAGCAGCCACAGCAGCAGCAGCAGCAACGGGGGCAGCAGCACTGGCGGCAGCAGCACCAGCGCCAGCTGCAGCCGCACCAGCAGCGGCTGCTGCACAACGATGGAGGCGCCTTCGCTGGATAGGGCAGAGGTAAGCCCTGCAGCAGCAGCAGCAGCACCAGCACCAGAAGCACCACGCCCCATTTCCGCTGCCGCTCAAGGTACACCAAGGGCCTCGGATGCAGAGACTGTTCAAAGAAGCAGCAGCAGCAAACAAGCTGAAGCAGCAGATAGCCGCAAACGTGGGGGGCCCTCAGCTGCTGCAGACGAGCGGGTTGCGGTGCGCCGGCGTCGCAACTCAGCAGCAGCGGCAGCAAAACCAGCAGCAGAAACTCCAGCAACAGCAGCAGCAACAGCATCAGACACTGCATTATACGCTGCTGTAGCAGCAATAGCAACAGACGCTGCAGAAGCAGCAACAACAAACGCTGCAACAGAAGCAGCAACAGACTCTGCAGCAGCAACAGCAACAGACGCTGCAGCAGCAACAGCATCACACGCTGCAGCGGCAGCACCAACAGACATTGCTGTTAGGCGAAGCCCCGCTCAGTCTCCGCAAGCGCATAGGCTTGAGCCTAGTGCTGCTGCTCCTGCAGCAAGAGCCAGAGCAGCAAGAGCAGATCCAAACAGCCCCTCTCAGCCAACTGGCAGCCGCAGCAGCAACAGCAGCAGCAACACCAGAAGCGATGGCAGCAGCAGCAGCAACAGCAGCAACACCGGCAGCAGCAAAAGCACCGACCGTCCTGTGGATGTGGCTGTAGCCTCCAGGCCCACCAGTCCTTGTGTTCGTGAGGCAGCATCGCAGCAGCAGCAGCAGCAGCAACTTCCAGAGGCAGAAGGAGGCTCTGACACCTTTTACTCTGCCCCTCAAACTCCACGAGTGGCTCCAGCTGAGGCTACCTCAGCTGCAACGCCTGCTGCTGCGGCTGCTGCTACGTCTGCTGCTGCAGCTTCTGCGGGTGCTTCTCCTGCTGCTGCTTCTGGGCCTGCTGCTGGTGCTTCTGCTGCTGCTGCTGCACGGGTTGTGGATGGCGCTGCTTCCGGTTCCACCGAAGAAGCAGCAACAACGGATGCAGCAGCACCCGAAGCAGCAGTAAGAGCTACAGCGCCAGCAGCAGACGATGCCCTTCGCTTGACTGTGGACCCCTCAGGCTCTGTGCCCAGCCAGCTGCAACCAGCAGCAACAGCAGCAGCAGCAGCAGCAGCGTGTGGAGGGTGGCTAAACTCTCAGCCCTTTCCCTTCTCTCTCTTCGATACACAACTCGACCAGCAGCAGCAGCAACAGCAGCAGCAACAGCAACACCAGCAGCAGCTACACCCGTTTTATTGTCAGAACTTCGCGGGGAATGCCTCATCTCCGCCTCAAGCAGCAGCAGCAACAGCAGCAGCTGCTGCTGCCGCTGCCGTTGCAGACGGTCCCCCTGACTTGCCGTGGGACAGCAGCAGCAGCAGTTGCTGCTGCAGCAACAACTCCAGCAGCAGCACCAGATACACGCTAAGCGGCTCCATTGCTGCGTTGCTGGCTCATTACGCCGGCTGCGACCCAAAGGCCAACAGAATTGAGGACGCGCTGCTGCTGGTGCTGCGGCTGGAGAGTCTGCAGCAGCAGCAGCAACAACAACAACAACAGCAGCAGCAGACGCAAACAAAACAAGTAGATGACTTGCTGCAATGGAGGTTTGTGCTGCTTCAGGTCGGAGGCAACTTCGCGAAGTACCTAAGTGTTCTCCTGGCAGAGGGAGTGAGCAGCAGCAGCAGCAGCAACAGCAGCAGAAGTAACAATAGCAATAGTACCAGCAGCAACAGCAGCAGCAGCAGCAGCGGGTGGTTTGAAACGAACAGTGAAAGGCAGTATAGACGAGTTATTCAATCTAGATGTGGGGGCTAGGGTCCGCTTGCCTAGGGTTTAGGGTTTAGGGTTTAGGGTTTAGGTTGAGGGTTTGCTGTACAGGACGAGCTGGTGCTGCAGCAAGCTTTTGTATTGCCACTATCTCCCGCTGTTTGGGCGTATAAATCCCTCCAAAGAAAAGCAATAGAAATCTGCGGGCCTGGGGGCCCCCCATTGGTTGGTCAAGCTCCTGGTGCGGCTGCTCAGCAGCAGCAGCAGCAGCAACAACAGCAGCAGCAGCAACAACAGCAGCAGGGCCTGCCTGAGTGGCTGCAGGAGGGACTGCTCTGCACCACGAGTCTTTTCGTCCTTGTTGACGATGCCCCTGAGGCAGCGGTAAGGTCTCCCTTGATGGTTTAGGGTTTAGGGTTTAGGGTACTTGGGGCCCCTCTTGTGGGGCTCTTAGAGTTGCACAAGTCAGCTTGGGTCATTGTTGTGGTGCTAGGGTTTCCCGTATGGTGTTCTGGGGTTTAGGGTTACGGGCTAGGGTTTAGGGTTTAGGGTTTACGCTCTGCCTCTCTCTTTCGCTTTATCGAGAAGCTACGCACAGCAAGTCCTGGGAAGCTCCATGCAGAATTGCGGAGCAGCAGCAGCAGCAGCAGCACCAGGATTAGCAGCAGCAGCAGCAACAGCAGCAGCAATGCGTTGCTGCCTCTGTTGGTGTGTGCTGCTGCTGTAGGTGCACGTGAGGCCTCCTGGAGTCAGCAGGGGTTTGCTGCTGAATGGATTCTGCTTCCGCTTAGCCTGCGATGTCTTAAGCCCACCGCAGTGGGTGCAGCAGCGGCTGCCTCGCGCGCTGCTGCAGCACCTAATGCCGCAGTTGCAGCAGCAGCAGCAACAGCAGCAGCAGCAGCAAGAAGCGGATTCAGAAGAGCCGGCTGCCCTAGCTGCAGCTGGCGAACACACGCAGCAGATGCAGCAGCAGCAGCAGCAGCAAAGGTTGAGGGCAGCAAGACAGCATGTTTATACGCCTCTTTCGCACATACAAAAGAGTGATGTAGTGAGACAGACAAGGTCCCGCCCAAGTCACCGAGAGTTTAGGGTTTAGGGTTTTACATTATGGGTTTATGGTTTAGGGTTTAGTGTTGTGGAGGTGCCTCAGGTAGATGTCTACTGCGTCTACTGGGAAATGCGGAGAGCGCCTCAAGAAACCGACAGTAAGATCAGGATTAAGGGTTTAGGGTTTAGTGTTTAGTGTTTAGGGCTTGACGGGGGGCACTGGACGTAGTAAATGCAGCAAATGCAGCAAATAACCTGCCGCCAACGGAGCCAAAGGGCTTGGGGTTTAGGGTTTAGGGTTTAGGGTGTGGGGTGTCTGCACAGCGGTGTGCTACATGAACGTTCGGGTTGTAGACGATTCTCTTCCCGTGCCTCTCGAGCGCCACAAGGCAGCTGAATTCAGCCTACAGGTAAACAGCAGCAACTGCAATTCCCGTAGGGCCTAGGGTTTAGGGTTTGCGTTTAATGGTTAGGGAGAGCCTCCAAGGGCGCTCCTCGACCACCCTTTGAACGGAAGGCTTTCGTTGCTGACAGGCCCCCCGCTGCTGCTGCTGCTGCTGCTGATGGCTGTTGTACTGCTGCTATTGCTGCTTCTGTTGCTATTGTTGTTGCTGCTGCTGCAGCTGCGAGGGACTAGCGGCGGCGCCTCGCTGCCGTTTATGTTGGCGGGTAGCATCCTGCGGCTGCACAGAGTAGTGGTCTGCCCTTGAACCCCAAACCCTAAACCCCAAAGCTTAAACCCTAAACCCTAAGTTCTAGAAGCAAGAAAGTCCGTCTCCTCCGCGTTGTAAAGCGTCCAGGGTGCAGCGTGCGGCGTTTAGGGTTTATGGTTTAGGGTTTACGATTTGCGTTTCAGCTGCACTTCAAAGAGGGAGGGGGAGGCCGGTTCTTTGGTGATCTGTTCCCTACGTGGGCGACGGCGGTTAGGGTTTGGGGGCCCCTGGGGCCCCGTGCATTGCAAAAGGAAGAAGCTTTAAACCCTCAGCAGAAGCATCAGGCGCTGCTTAGTCTGCCGAAACACTAAACCCTAAAGCTAGCAAAAAACCCTAAGCCCTATAAAGCTAGCCCGAAACCCTACAGTAGTGAACCCTAGACGCAAAAGCCATCAGTAAACCCTAAACCCCCAAGCCATTAATAAGCTGGCAATAAGCTCTTAACCCTAGCCCCAATCCTAGACCCTAAAGCCAGCCTTAATCCCTAAACCATGGCAGCCCGCTAGCCATAGGAACCCCAATCGATTGGGGGAACCCTCCGCCCCAATCCGCCAGCCCGCATGAATGCGCCCTAAACCCTAAACCCTAACATCGAAAACCCAAGTACCAAACTCTAAACCCTTGACTTGTGAACAGGCCGCATGAAGGTAACGGGAGATAGAGGGAAGACGAGTTCTTTCTGCGAGGTCGATGTCGCCATTATACACTCCCTAAACCGCTTCATCAACAACATCTTCTGTACAGACACCGGTAAACCCTAAACCCTAAACCCTAATGCCTTGAAGGAGGGCTGCCTATGCATTCCCGAAAGTGAAAGACGCTGTAGCGGCCGCTCCAGCCTAAACCCTCGTCCAACCCCCGTGCAGCCCTTTGGCTTGGCAACACTTGAGTGCGAGATTCTGGGCTTTAGGGTGTAGGGTTTAGGGTTTAGGGTTTAGGGCTTGTGTGCTCCCAGTCTTCACTTCACGCTACACTGCGGACTTGAGGACCCTCTACCGCAGAGGGGAGGGAGCGTTTGGCGATGTTGTTGTCCGGGTATCCCTTTAATCCTGCTGCTGCTGCTGCTGGCTGCTGCTGCCACCCGCTGCTGCTGCTGCTGGCTGTTGCTGCATCTGGTATTTGCTGCTGCTGCCTTGGTAGGGTTGTATATAATTTGTGTTGTTGCTGCCGCTGCTGGGGCTTGCTGCTGCAGCGTAGGAGCAGCAGAAAGAGCACCAGCAACAGGAGATTTGCATGCTGTATAAATTGTCTCTTCAGGTCGTAAAGGCCTGCTACGGACCAGCCCTCAGTGCCTCATCGCCCCCGTCAAGCAGCAGCAGCAGCACGGCGTGCTGCTGCAGCTACTGGCTGCTGGTGGAAGACGCTTCGTGGGTGGGGGGTGGGGTTGCAGTAGTTTCTGTCTCCTCTTTGCTGCTGCAACACTTAGCCTGCTGCGGAGACAGCGCGCTGCAGCAGGGAGAATGGCTAAGACTGCGCAATGTCTCCTTCTTAAGACAAGATTTAAACGACAGCAACGGGGGCCTCTTGGCTGCTCTGGGGTGGACCTCCCCCGACAGGGCTCAGGTAACAAAACCTAAACCCTAAACCATCTCAATTCGGGTGAACCCCGCCGTCGTTTCCGAACAGCCTGCCAGCTGACGTGAACCTGCCGGTGCTCCATGGGCCCTGCTCATTGTGTTACTGCTGCTGCTGTTGTTGCTGCTGCTCTTTCTGCTGCTGCTGCTGCAGCTCACTCGGCTACCCCTTTGGTGTGCTGACGTGGTAGAGCGGCGCGCCCTCCTCAGAGAATCCAAACGCAAGTTGCAGCAATTCCGGCAGCAGCAGCAGCAGCAGCAGCACCTTTTGCAGCAGCAGCAGCAACACCAACAGCAGCATCTGCAGCAGCAACAGCAGCAAGAGCAGCAGAACCTGCTGCAGCAGCAACACACGGATGACCTGATGGATGAGGTTTTTGTGGACACGATGCAGTCGAATCAGCAGCAGCAGCAGCAGCAGCAAGAGCAGCAATTGCTGCAGCAGCAACACGGACAGCATCAGCAACAACAAATTTTTCAAAGCTCATGTGGAGCTGGTGGTAACGGGCCTAATCATCATCAGGAGCAGAAGCAACAGCTGCTGCAGGAAGAACAACAACAACGGCAGCTGCAGCAGCAGCTGCAGCAGCAACTACAGCAGCCACAAGGAGCTTCTCTCTCGTTGTGCTTTGCTTTTGCAGCTCCGCAGCATTATCGGGGGGTTGGGGCGGTAACCCGTAGCTGCCGGGAGCTCGCGCTAATTGCTGCCAAGGTATTATTTGTGCTTCACCTGCTGCTGCTGATGCTGCCTCTGCAGCAGCTGCTGCTGCCGGTGCTGCCTCAGCAGCAGCACGCCTGCTGCAGCTGTGCAGGAGTTTCTGCCGATGGTGCTGTCATACACTTGCCGCTGCGGCTCCTAATATTTTGCTGTTATTTGTATTGCTGCAACCGACTTCCCTCGTTAATGCTACATTTCTTTTGCGGCTGCTTCTGCTGCTGCTGTTGCTGGTTCAGCAGCAGGCTACGCAGGAGCCCGGCTTCACTGTGCTGCTGGAGGGAGTTGGCTTTTGGGGCTTTGGGGAGGCGGAAGGCCTCAATGCCTCAGACCCCTGCACATGGCTTGCTGCTGCATGCGTTGCGTGCTGCACTCCAGCACAACGTATCTTCAGCAGTAGCAGCAACACGGGCTGCTGCAAAACTTGCGGGCATGAAGACCTCGTGCTGAGGTACGCCCACTGCAGCAGCAGCAGTAGTAGTAGTAGCATCAGCAGCAGGTGTTGCGAGGGCGTTCAGATGGGTGGTGAGGGAAGATGGATTGGCGTTGGTGCTGTTTGTGTTGCTGCTGCAGCTACGATTTGCCGTTGCTGATGCGGGATGAGGCGGAGGCGGTGGTGTCTGTCCACCTTAGAGACCCCCACGTGCGGCACTGCAGCAGTAGCCTCATTTCATTGTTTTTGTTGCAATTGCGGGGCCAGGGGGGGTTTGTACGTTAGCTACGTGTGTAGTGGCTTAGGGGTTTAGGGTTTAGGGTTTGGGGTGTGCCTGCAGGGCTGCATGTTCTCCATCATCAGCGACGGTGGCATCGCGCCTCCCGCCTCGCTGCTGCGGCCTGAGGTGCGGGTGTTGCTACTGTCTCTCTTTAAAGGCCTTGCCTACCCTTATCAGCTGCAAACGCTGCCTACACACCCCAGCGCGCTTCCTGCAGATGACTCCGGCAGCAGCAGCACCATACAGGGAAGGCGGCATTCAGTGCTGCTGCGCTTAGTCAGGCAGCAGCAAACAGGAGAGCCACAGTGGGTGCTTGTGGAGCCCTGTCTCCTTAGCTACTCTATAGAGTCTATGCAGTGTACAGACAGCTGCAGTAAAGGGCCTTAACGATGCATATGAATCAAGAAGCACAACCATTTAATCTTTTAAAAATGCAAAATGTTCCTCCCGTTGCACGCAGACGGACAACCGTATGTGGAGACAGCCCAGATGCTGTTGCTGCTCCTACTGGCACTACAACTGCTTTTGCAGTTGCTGTAGCTGCAGCTGCTGCTGCTGCACCAGCTCCTATTGCTGCTGCTCTTGCTGATGCTGCTGAATTTGTGAGGCCTTGGGGGTAGCATTGCTGTGGGTTGCTGGTGCAATACGAAGTTGTGGGTGTGTCCTTTCCTCTTTTTTGTCTGGAGACAGGAGATCGCCTGAGACAGAGATCCCCTGCTGCTGCTGCTGGGAAGGCAGAAGTGGTGCTGTCGCTGCTGCTGCTGCAGTACACCCGAGAAACGATGCTGTTCCCCTCAAGGAGCATCGTCCACGTCCCTGGGCGTAAAAAACTGCATGCATAAGCCCCAGTGCCCCAGAAGCAGCAGCGGGAGACCCCCTGTACATGAGGCCCCTTGGTAGGGGAGCCCCCTCTACCTGGGGTTCCTAGAAAGGAGGGGGGGCCCCCCGTACCTGAGGCTCCTGGGGAGGGAAGGGGCCCCCAATAGGGGCCCCCAATAGGGGCCCCCAATAGGGGCCCCTGAAGCACTGAGTTGCATCTGAAGAGGAATATTGTGCACTTTTGGTAGGGAGAGGGGGGCCCCCAGGGAATACTCAATACACGTAAAGAAAAAAACGAAACAAAGAACACCTCTCGATACACCTCAAGATGTGCACAGGGATATGCATCAACGCAAGCTGTGTGCAAGCCTCATTCTAAATTTCGATTGAACGCAGATTGTATTGAATGCATTTCTAAACAATGCAAATTTTCAATGAGTACAAGATACATCTTCACACACACACATATATATATATATATATATATATATATATATATATGCATCTCTCTGGGCCCCCACACATGCTGAACCATGTCCTGCGCGTTAGACGAGGGGCCCCTGGGGGCCCCCTGTGCTTGTTGAATGCCCCTGAAGGGGGGGTTTAAATATAAATGGACTCTCCTACATGTTTCCAAGCTGTGAATGCACCGAAGATGCCAAGTAGGGAGAGGAATATCATGAGTGCGGCGAAAGTTCCTACAACCTGGGCCCTCTTCAGAACAGGGAAAGAAGCGCGTTGGGTGTATCTACGGCCTAGAGAAAATGCTAATTCCATTGTGCCTATAAATAAACAAATGATAAATGTCATGAAAAGCAAGAGGCGCACACTCATCGCCTTTCCGTCTCTCTCAAGGTGCGCGTTTAACTCTTGTACAGGAGAATTCAAAAGGGCTGCGGTTGAATCCTGTGCATCTTGAATTCGTGACAAAAGACTGCCATTCTTCTGGGATCCCTTCACACGCCACTCTGTTAAAGTCAGAAACAACAGCAATAACACCAACCCCACGACAATCGTCTTCAATCCCTTGTGACTAGGCATTGCAGACTCTGCAAAATCTGTAGGTACCGCAATTTCTTCAATTTCAGGAGACTCCCAGGCTCCATACGGCACCCCCAACTCCACATCGCCAACAGAAGCGGCGGCTAGTGAGGAACTGACAACAGCAGACGGGCCCACCGTGAGCGCCAGCAGCATACAAACAAGCATCAACAACCCCCCACGCTTCATCACTCGTACAGGGGCCCCCAGGGGAAGCCGAGTATCCCATGGGGCCCCCCGTACCCACCGGCCACACCACAACTTCGCGAGATCCTTCCCCATCGCCCCCGAGACAACTTTAGCTTAATGGAGGCACCGGCGTCGTCGGCCTAGGGCAGAATCAAGGAAGGCCGCTGAAGCTCCGTCTTTGCCGCTTTATACCTACTGTAATCTTAACACCAATGCAGAATAAAGATTATGCTTGCTAGCCCCGCAAGAGAACCAGCGGCAGCACGTCCCTGCAGTAGCAAATCGATGGGGGTGAGTCAGGCGGGCTAGCCTCGACCAAATAGGCCCAAATACTAGCAAAATACCTTTAAATTACTGCAAAAGACCCAACATTCCTCCAGAAAGAAAGAAACATACACTACACCAGCTGCATGCCCAGCTGCCGTGAGGATCGCCGCTCACTTAAGAATCCCTTGCCACGACGCAGATAGGCATGCCTGCTCGTTCGAGTCTACACATGCGGAAATTTAGAGAAAAGTTTATCCTTTTATACCCATTGAGCATCTTCTTGATTGTTAAATGCTTAGCAAACCCGCAGAGAAGTCGCGGGCTCAAAACAGCCCCGTCCGTTGCCGCGACCTGCAGCAGGGGCCTCCCTCCTACAGCCGTTCGGTAGCTGTCACTTGCCTTTTGCTCTTACTGCCTTCCGATGCTGTATCCTTTTTGATTATTATGAATGTTACTTTTGTGCTGCTATTTTCTTCACCCTGTTGACGTCCTTGGGGATTCACAGCCTATAGTACAGCCTACTGGCACTCCTCGATTGTAGCATGCTCTTTGCAGTTTGTACACGTATTTCAAGCTGCATGCACGCTGGCTGACGGGGGCCATGTACGTGTTTAATAAGTGCTTACAGTGTCCGTGCATGCACCAATAAGGAGGTCTGCGTGCACTTGCGTGTGGGGTTACTTTGTAGTGTACAGTCTGTGCCTTCGATCTTAGCTGAGGAGCCCCGCTAGCTGCAATGGAGTCAATGGCTCAGCGTGATACTTCTCCAAAAAGCAGCTGGTGTCAGTTTTACACCCCAAACGCCTTGGCCTTGGAGCCGCAAGGGGCTGGTGTAACGAGAGTATGCGATCTCCTATAGGAAGCGTCGTGAGTTTCTAGCGGGGGAAAATGCTTAATAAAGAAGTAAGAACGACATCAGATAGGGCGTGATTATGGGAAAGAGTCCCATGCCGTTTGGAAAGAAATGCTGGGGTGGGAAGGCAAATGGCGTTACATACATGAATTGAGTCCCAATGCAGGAACGAAGAATCATTATCTTAAACCATTAGTCGCACAACACTGGAGTTACAGTCAATTAACTCACACTGAGCATGATTGAGTTAGGATTTCCTTCAAGCATACAATAGAGCGCCTATAGGGCAAAAACTACGTTAAGCGGCTACGAGGAAGGAGCCACCATCGAAACCATTAACCTATCCGCATCCACATTGCGTGGTTGAAGTGGTCGAAGCGATGCCCTTGCAGAATCCAGAAACTGCTTCTGAGCGGAACCTGCGCAGTGATAGGTACACAGGAAATAAGAGAAGATCCTGAAAAGGGACTCGAGTGATGCTGAGGCTATCTACAGACGGCCGGGGAAAAGCAAGAGGGGAACCTCACAGAAAGGTAAAGGGGTGCTCTCACACAAGGCCAGGATAGGTAGTCATAGCCAGAGCGGATCTTTGCTTCCAGATGTCCTGCATTATAGGCCAGCCTGCGAGGGCATCGGCCCTCGGGCTTTGTCGAAAATTGAAAGCACTTAATGGGCCAGAGGTTCAGGTCGACCGCTGGTACGCTCATAGTATACGGAAACCTCAAGGGTTGCAAAACGGCAAATTTCAAGGATGGACTTTTTTAGCACGAAGAATGCAACAGGGTCTTCATCGCTGGTGGACCTACCTGTGTACATCTCGGTGACAACCTGTGGTGTGAACTGCTATCGCCCACCGCTGCTACTACATGTTACGGTATATGTAGTGCACGAGCACTACAAGAGGCTCTCCGCTGACCCTTCCACGAGAGATTAAAATCATGTTGCATTTTTCCTGCTAAAGGAATCCATCCTTGAAATCTGCAATTATGAAACGGTTGAGCGGTATACTGTCGGCCTGCCAGCTGTCAGCCTGCCAGCTGTCAGCCTGAACCTCTTGTAACCAATATTCGGCCCATTTATGTGCTTTCAATTATCGACATAGCCCGACGGCGGCGGCCCACGCCGGCTGGTCTAGAATGCAGGACAGCTGGGAGCGAAGGTCCGCTCTGGCTACTTATCTCAGCTCAGCGTTATGTGAAAGTGCCTTTTACCTTTCTGTGTGATTCCCCTTTCGTGTTCCCCAGATCCCTTGCAGATTGCTTCAGCGGGTCTCTACAAATCTCTCTTCAACGGCTTCTCCTATTTCTTGCCGGCCGATAACTGCCCATATTCTGCCCTGAAATAGTTTTCTGCATTCTGCTTGTTCATCGCCCTTGTCGCAGGAGGTTAGCGTGGCTAGGGAGATCAGGACTATGTAGGAGGGCGTCAACAAGCTAGGCTATTACGCCCTGTCCTAATCAGTGTTTGTAGGGAGGCGTTGATATTAGCTTGAAACGTAGCTGGCGCACCCTTGGGTTCAAATGGCACAACCATATATTCGAATAGCTCCAATACGGAGCGGAAGGCAGCCTTCCACCGGGTTTCCTTAGCCATACGGATGGATATGATGAAAGCCTGCTTCGAGTAGAAAAACATTTAGCTCCCCCAAGCATCTCTAGTATACTTTGAATAGGACGCAGTGAAAAATCCGGGGATATCGTGAGAGCTAGATATTAACTACCATACTCATCTTCCGCCCCCCTGAACCCTAGTTTCGTTTATCGACCATGATAGTAGGAGCGCAGATAGGGGAGTACGTTGGTTCTATGCACCCGTTAGCGAACAACTAAGCTAACTACTCCTGGTTGAGAAAATTCAGCTGATATGGAGTCATGCGATAGATGACAGAATTTGCATGTAGTTTCCCAGGCACCAGTAAGATGTGATTATTATGCGGGAGCTTCGGAGGCAACCCAGCAGGCAGGGTGCCACGGAAGACCTATCGTTGCGCACTCAACACCTCGAGTATCCCGAGTGGAGTATCCTGTGACTGCCAACTCCAGCCATTCGTCGAAATGCGAATACTCGAGGTTAGCCGTAGACCACGGTGACTCGTCTTCGTCCTCAGCCCTTGTCGTGAGAGCGGGGCCTACACGGCTGGCCCGTCTGGAGCGTGTGGTGTAGTTCCTGGTCAGCGCTCACAACAACGCCCCTTGGCGTTCATTCCTAA